TTATTAGATGTATTTATTCTTTCTCATTTACATGTAAATTTCATTTTTCAATTTATTGTCCTAATAAAATACAGAAATAGGAATTTATGTTAATATAATAATGGTGGCAGAAAGACCTATGGTCAATAGCCCTTTATATCAGATCAATTTGTTTTTTTTAATTTCTTGTTATTTTATGTTTGTGTTTTGAGTATGTTGTATGACATTTTACAATAAATTTTATTATTATAATATTGGATGATAACACTTACAAATAATAATTTATATAAAGTGTTAACTCTTTGAGTGGCGATTTTACACGCAATCTACCACCTTTTAAATATGCCTAGTGTGACATTACTATAATTTTCTAGAAAATGTCGAGGAACGAGGAATTATCCTTTAATTTGATTAGTATATCAAAGGATTAATCGTGATATGACCTAATACCATCCGATGTTGATTCAGTTCACGTAGTTGTTTCAATCAGTTGTCTAAAAATTAGTTCGATTTAGAAATTTAGGAATTACGGCTTATTAAGGAGTTATTTGAGGTTAAAAAAAAAGTCAATAAACTTGAAACGGTCCACGGAGCAAGAAGTTTGACGACCATTGCATTAATACAAGTTACTTAATAATTACTTAAGTCATTATATAAACGGTCATATCATAATGAGTCAGAATCTAGAGAGAAAATCATATAATTGTATACTATATCTTCAATATACCTAAACAAATACAAAAGTTCTAAGTAGCTTTCGAAATATTTTTTAATATTTTAGAATCAACATTATTATATATTTAATAAAAGTAAATAATTTAAAATAAAATAATCTACTATTATTTGTCCACCTAAATATTTGATTTCTTTTAAATCTCTCAAAATATAATGTTGGATTTATTGTTATTATTTGTTTTATTAATATGATATGTAGACTTTTGATATTCTCTAAAATTAAAAGTTTTAATCATTACTATTGAAATAATTAAACGACTTTCATTTTGAAGTCCCATCTTCAAAACTTACATTTCTAGGAGAAGATCGAACTTAACAGCCTTGGAGACAAAAAAGTTAAAGACGTTCACACTCACAAAACCAATTGTGTATAAATAGTGAGCATCTAAATAATCATTACACAGTTAATCTCCATATCAACATGAAATCTGTACGTATAAACAAGCAAATAACTGAATAACTAAGAATAATAATTATTGATTTGATTAGGTATTCGTTGCTCTTGCCTTCCTGGCCGTTGCCGCCGCTGTTGAGGATGTTGTCCAAATCCTCAGGCAGGAAGCTGATGTTGGTTTCGATGGAACTTACAAACACGCTTTTGAAACCTCTGACGGAATCGCCGTCGAAGAACACGGAGTGCTGAAGAACGCCGGATCTGAAAACGCTGCTGTAGAAGCTACTGGTTCTTACGAATTCACCGCTCCAGATGGAATTAAATACGCTCTTCATTACGTTGCCGATGAGAACGGTTTCCAACCGCAAGCCGACTTCTTGCCAACTCCACCACCAATCCCAGCTGCCATCCAAAGGGCTCTTGACTACATCGCATCTCATCCACAACCACTTCCACAAGGAAAGGTATTATAAATGACTTTTTGTACCTACATGATTTGTAAATATTACCATAAATAAAAACAGCAATATAATAAAAATTATTAGATGTATTTATTCTTTCTCATTTACATGTAAATTTCATTTTTCAATTTATTGTCCTAAGAAAATACAGAAATAGGAATTGATGTTAATATAATAATGATGGGCAGAAAGACCTATGGCCAATAGCTTTATAACAGATCAATTTGTTATTTTTAATTTCTTGTTATTTTATGTTTGTATTTTGAGTATGTAGTTTGACTTTTTACAATAAATTTTATTATTATAATATTGGATGATAACACTTAAAAATAATAATTTATATAAAGTGTTAACTCTTTGAGTGGCGATTGTACACGTAATCTACCACCTTTTAAATATGTCTAGTGTGACATTACTATAATTTTGTAGGAAATGTCCAGGAACGAGGAATTATCCTTTAATTTGATTGGTATGTCAAAGGATGAATGTTGATAATCCATACCATCCGATGTTGATTCAGTTGTCTAAAAATTAGTTGGGTATAGAAATTTTGGAATTACGGCTTATTGGGGAGTTATTTGATGTTAAAAAAGTCAAGAAACTTGAAGCGGTCTACGGTTACTTAAGTCATTATATAAACGGACATATCATAATGAGTCAGAATCTAGAGATAAAATCATATAATTGTATACTATATCTTCAATATACCGAAATAAATACAAAAGTTCTAAATAGCTTTCGAAATATTTTTTAATATTTTAGAATCAACATTATTATATATTTAATAAAAGTAAATAATTTAAAATAAAATTATCTACTATTATTTATACACTTAAATATTTGATTACTTTAAAATCTCTCAAAATATAATGTTGGATTCGTTGATATTAATTGTATTATTAATATAATATGTAAATTTCTGATTTTCATTATAACTAAAAGTTTTAATTACCACAGATGCAATTAATAAACGCCTTTCATTTTGAAGTCCCATCTTCAAAAATTACTTTTCTACGAGATGATCGAACTTAACAGCCTTGGAGAAAAAAAAGTTACTTATTAAAAGACATTCACACAAACAAAACCAATTTTGTATAAATAGTGTGCATCTCCGAAAAATAATCATTACACAGTTAATCTCCACATCAAGATGAAATCTGTACGTATAAACAAGCAAATAACTGAATAACTATTAATAATATTTATTGATTTGATTAGGTATTTGTTGCTCTTGCCTTCTTGGCTGTTGCCGCCGCTGTTGAGGATATTGTCCAAATCCTCAGGCAGGAAGCTGATGTTGGTTTCGATGGAACTTACAAACACGCTTTTGAAACCTCCGACGGAATCGTCGTCGAAGAACACGGAGTCCTGAAGAACGCCGGATCCGAAAACGCTGCTGTAGAAGCTACTGGTTCTTATGAATTCACCGCTCCAGACGGAATTAAATACGCTCTTCATTACGTTGCCGATGAGAACGGTTTCCAACCACAAGCCGATTTCTTACCAACCCCACCACCAGTCCCACCAATGATCCAAAGGGCTCTTGACTACATCGCAGCTCACCCACAACAACTTCCACATGGAAAAGTATTATAAATGATCTTTTGTATATACGTGATTTGTAAATATTACTATAAATAAAAACAGCAATATAATAAAAAGTTATTAGAAGTATTTATTTATTTTCATTTACATTTCAACTGAACGCTTGAGCTGGATGTCGGGAGATTCTCATTTTTTGTGGAGTTTTTTAATTTAGTTCAATTGTTCAGCGATTTCAACTCATTGAATTTACCAAAGTGCTCGATGCGGCTTTTTGAAAAGTTATTGAAGGTTAATAAAAAGTCAAGCATCAGCAAAAAAGTTTAGTGTCCATTTCACTAATACAAATTATTTAAATCATTATATAAATAGTCATATCATAATGAGTCAATATCTAGAGAGAAGACATCCACTTGCACTTCATAATCATAAGCAAATAGAAATACTAGAAAAGCAAAATAAAGATAAATTATTTAAAGGATTTAAAGGATTTGTATGTCAAAGGATGAATCTTCATAGGCCATACCATCCGATGTTGATTCAGTTCACGTAGTTGTCTGATTCAGGTTTAGAAATTTAGGAATTACGGCTTATTAGGGAGTTATTTGAAGTTAAAAAAGTCAAGAAACTTGAAGCGGTCTACGGACGAAAAAGTTTGGCGACCATTGCACTAATACAAATGACTTAATAATTACTTAAGTCATTATATAAACGGTCATATCATAATGAGTCAGAATTTAGAGAGAAAATCATATAATTGTATACTATATCTTCAATATACAGAAACAAATACAAAAGTTCTAAGTAGCTTTCGAAATATTTATTAATATTTTAGAATCAACATTATTATATATTTCATAAAAGTAAATAATTTAAAATAAAATAATCTACTATTATTTATACACTTAAATATTTGATTTCTTTTAAATCTCTCAAAATATAATGTAGGATTCGTTGAAATTAATTGTATTTATTAATATAATATGTAAATTTCTGATTTTCATTATAACTAAAAGTTTTAATCACCACAGATGCAATTAATAAACGACTTTCATTTTGAAGTCCCATCTTCAAAAATTACTTTTCTACGAGATGATCGAACTTAACAGCCTTGGAGACAAAAAAGTTGTTTAATAAAAGACATTCACACACACAAAACCAATTGTGTATAAATAATGTGCATCTCCGAAAAATAATCATTACACAGTTAATCTCCACATCAAGATGAAATCTGTACGTATAAACAAGCAAATAACTGAATAACTATTAATAATAATTATTGATTTGATTAGTATTCGTTGCTCTTGCCTTCTTGGCCGTTGCCGCCGCTGTTGAGGATGTTGTCCAAATCCTCAGGCAGAAAGCTGATGTTGGTTTCGATGGAACTTACAAACACGCTTTTGAAACCTCCGACGGAATCGTCGTCGAAGAACACGG